CGACATCACGTAAATAAATGCAATAACTTGTTTAGCATAGTTAAGCAGTTTGCTGCTCAAAAACTTATTTGCATGACATCTCATTTTGAATAGGTTAAGTTGTGGGAAATTAGGAATGTGCCTTCAGTCTGATGTATTCTGCAGAAAAGAGAAAAAAATCTTCCACTGGAGATATGTAATTTGTAAATTGAAATTCTCCATTTGTTTTCTATGGCAACAAACTGGAACATACTGATTCTATGTTTAAATGATTCACTTTTCATACCATTGCTGTCATGTTAGCATTTCTTGATGGATGTGTGAGATAATGTTAACCCCTCTGTACTTGCTCTTAATTTTTACTGTTATTCTTCCATTACTTACTAGACTGTTCTGTTTAAGATACACAAGTGTACATCTAGGTTGCAGTTTTCTGTATCTAGAGGAGATAAGGCTGTTGTCCTTGCCATATTTCAATATGGGTAATCAGTTTCTGTCTCTAAAATCATACCGAGTCTTTGGTTGCAGGAAGTGGTTTGTACCCACTTTAGTGTGAATGTTTAGACTGAAAGAGCTCGATTGTGCTTCAGTATCCTTTAAAAAAAAATGAGATCTTTCGTTACATATGCCTCTTTCACTCACAGGGGCTTAACTAAATTTATATGTGGCCTGAAGTTTATATATTTGGCCCGTTGCGTATCAAGACTTTTGGATCACTATCTAACTGGAAGGGAGTCACAATTCCAAGAAATATCTCTATTTTGAAATGTTTGCAACAAAAGTTGCCACACGTGAGCTGTTATGTGTAAACTCCCCGTGTACATGTTGTTCCCTTCCCTCTAGGTGACTAGATAGCAGCAAACCGTGGAACAGGCACAAAGACTGTTGTTCTGAGACCTGATGAACTTGGGTCCTCGTGTACCTGCCATCTTCTGCCCATGTGTCCACTCTAATTTACAAAAATGGTCTGTTCTTCATGTGAATAAAACGTTTAAGCTAGAGGGTGTCACAAGTAGCAGGTAGATGTTCCTGTCTTCCCGGGAATGTCAGCCCAGTCCTTCAGAAAGGGGACAGTTCACTCTTGGTGGACATAGTAAAGTGGAGAGACAAGTCCTTCACACTATTTTCTTCGTCTCCCTGCACCAAACTGTTCAGCGAAGTGCGACAGAGAACACGAGATTCCTTCTGAGACCAAAAATAAATCGCTCTGAGAGATGATCTCTTCGAAGCACCACCTGGCGATCCCTGCAATAATGATGGCGCTCACATGCATCAAGTTTTTCTGTGATTTCTGTTCCATTTAGGCTAAGGAAATATTCAGGTTTTTGGAGCTATAAATTATTACACTGAAATTTTCTTAAATTTTGAAATAATAGAAATTGTCGTGTTTCACTAACAGCCTTCTAAAAAGCAGATTATACAGAAAGCAATCTGGTAAAAGAACCGATCAGTTCTGTTCATTGGCTTTGTTCGTATCAGTTTCAGATTTTATTAATACAAATCCTCTCCACGTGTTGCAAGCCTGGGGGTTGTTAGGTGGCACTTTGCTAGCAGCTCTGAAGATACACCAAGGTGTATCCTAACCAGACCTGTTTCATTGTCACTTTTTTCTGAACCGTCTGCTAATGAGGTGATTTTTTTTTTCTTTCTTGTTTACATGAAGCACAGTTTCAGGCTAGACTCTGTAGGCACATGCCTTGCCTCTGTCAAAATGTTGCCAATAATTTCAGCTGAATAGGATGGAGCCATGAATGGGAAATGCTTCACAACAAAGCTGATGGATGTATCTGGCATAAGCTTTGTTTTGTGTGTCTGTTCTTGGATCGAGAGTTGAGAAAATCTCTTCAACTTCTTGTTTGATGAATATAGTAGATATAATGTTCTTCTCAGGCAGGCTCTTTGTTGTGAGGATGTGAATAACATTGGGGCTTTTTGCCCTGAACGTAATGTTTAAGCCGTCAATAAATAAAAAAACCACAGCAGGTATTTGGAATGTCTTCTTGCATAATTGAGGAAAGGAATTACACCTGCGTTCATGCTTTGGCTCATGCTGGGGCATCTCTTTGTTTGCCCTTGGTAATCTGAAAATGAAAAAATGAGGGAGAACCTTAATTTAAAAATATTAAGGAAGTCAGAAAACTGTGAGAAGTATGTCCCAGACAGAACTGCAGCATTGTAAGAAGCATCCCTGCAGGACCAGCTTTTCTCTCATTTCAGCAACGACTCAAATCCACTCTGCAGAAACTATTTGTATTCTGACAACTTTTTTTAATGGTTTTTTTGAGGCTTTTTAGCCCGTAATGGAACTAATAGAATTGCTTATCTTGCCCCACAAATTGTTTAAACTAGTTTCGGTTGTGCAGTTGGATTTAGGAAGTCAGGATTTCATCCCCTCTGTATTTAAGAAGCTGGTTGTAAGTGTGCCTCGGTGCTCAGTCCCAATACAGTGAAATAAGTTGATGGAGAGTTATAGAGCAAATAATTAAGTTGTTGAGGTCACCCCCATTTTGTCACAGGCGCGTAGAAGGAGCCTTTTCTTGCACATGGAAGTGCAAATTTAATCTATGTTGGACCTTTACTCTAAGAAAGGGAATACTGCTCTTCAGTGGTGTCATGGTAAGTGGAAATTGGCATTACGTGGTACTAAACTGAAAATGAACCATATGGCTAAGGTCATGCTCTGCTTTTTGTTAGCCTAAACCTATTAAAATTGTTATGAATCAAGTGTAATGTCTGTTTCTCAGTGGGGAAATTTCATTGTAAGCATTAGTGAAAGATATGTGTAGCTGTCAAATGGCAACATTTGTGAAAATAAGTAGTATCTAGCTCTTATTTCAGGCTTTTCATCAGCATGTCTCAATTTGTTTCACAAGGAAGGAAGGAAGGATTACTAAAGCCTGTCTCAAGCACAAAACTGAGTAGCTTTCACTGAGTTTGTCCTTATGTTGTTTCTGTGCGGAAGGGCCTTTGGGGTTTGTTTTTCCCTACTGAGAGATCTGTGACCTATGTCCTACTGGTGTGGTATATGTTGAGTGTGGTACAATTTGTTTGCCAGTTTATGCACCTTTCTTGCCTTCTGGAATTCATATATCTGCTACTAGCAGAGCTTATCTGTGCTATCGTAGAGGGGTTTGAACCAGCTACAGATGAAAATGGTGTGCAGAAGCAACAGGTATCCACTGAGAGATTTGGTGTCGGGCAATCATTTCTCTGGAGGATTAAATGAAGTCTTCAGAAAGGCATCCTTTTACTTTGCAGGGTTCATAACCCAAATTTCTGGCTCTGCTCGTGGGATAGTTTTTCACAAAAAAGCTTTAAAATATGGTTTATTATATTTATTTACTTGGATTCTTCTCTTTAATTTGTATGCACACTAGTTTGACTCCTCCAACAACTAGATCAGCTGACAAAGGAGGTGTTATTGTGAGATGCAACATAGGTAAAGCTATCGAACTGGATGGTAGCCTGAGCTATAGGCTGTGTTTGTAGAGCAGAGACAAAAATCCCCACATTGCACAATGTCTGTCTGCTTTTAAACATTCTGCTATTGTTTTAAAAATCCATGCTGCACATGCCAGTCATCTCTTGTTAAAACATGGCTCTGACCAAGAGCCTTCATTGAGTAAGAATTCCAGTGCTGTGATCCAAAAGCTCACAGACGGGGAACCCCTCAAAACCTGAAATGAGAGGAATTATTTTTTTTCCCTTTGTTTGTCGTAGAGTTGATATATGTGGCTTCTCAGGCTTGAGGGGACAAAGGGGAAAAATAGATTGTGAACATTATTGTTAATCCAGATGCTTAGAAATGAACAGTCATGTTTTCTCAAATTATGCAATGGATTAAAAATAATGATGTATTTTTAAAATTATGCCTGTGGGTTTGCACCTTCCAGATAAAAGGTTCATCTACTTTTTGTATTTTTTATCAGCACTGCCAAGAATTATGAAACTCCTATTTTAAAATGTGCCAAGAATTCCTAAATACACTCCTTTCTACTTATTTCTGGAGTTTTCACTGAAACATCTGACGTCACTAGAACTGGAGAATTCAGTAGCAATATTATTCATGTAAATTGAATTCAATTTTCCTGTGCCCTCCCTCTGTTCCTCCTAAGATATTGGAATACTTTGGCAGTGCAGCACACCGAGGGATGACAGTGTGAATGATAGAAAAGTTTACTAAATGCCTCTAAAAACAGGACTACAGTTTGTTCAGTACGAAGCCAGAGATGAATGTAGCAGTTAAAAAATTGTGTTGCCTGTATGAATTTCAAAACAATACAAAATTTTTCTCTCAGAATTGTGCCAGCCTCTTCAGGAGAGGTAGGATTCCAGTCTGAGATTTCTACATGCTTTTTGTGCGTGTGAAAATGTTTTTGGTCGTGGCAGTATCCTACCACATTTCAGTCAAGACATAATCTTCCATCTGTCATAATCCTGAAGTTGATCACCCCAATTGCTCATGATGAACAGTAACCAAAACTCCTAGAAAGGATCCGTGTAGTAAGTGTGCTTTGCTCTGTCACTGGTATTTCTGAGACTGTCGTGTTTGCCTTCTGGCTGGCAGGCAAAGATTAAAATCTTGATTGAGAGAAGGCTTGGCTGTGTTGGCATGTCCTGACGATGGGGCATAAGCCAAAGGCAAGACTTTAAACATGAGGCTGAAATTTTCCTTAATCTGGGCTGAAATTTCCCTCAATCTGGGCTTGGATAGTTTTGATTTCTGAGTAGAATCCATTGTGATTTGCATGTGGGAGAGGTCACGTTGTGGAGGAAGGAATTCAGAGGAGCTCTGCTATTTCAGCTGCAGCTCACCTCTGATTATGAGTTCATATCAGAAAATTAGAAAATCTGCATTAGTAAGAATGAAGTAGGATTTTTTGTGTTCACTGTACAATGTAAGGTCTTGCTTCCAAATTATATGCTGTTCATCGTGTCAAGGAGTTGCATAATGTGATGTAAAAAGACTATGTCAGCCTTGTGTGTGTTATTTACCACGTTGCTTCGTCTTCCCTTTTCAGCACTTACAGAACCCGGCAAACTTCCATAATGCGGCAACAGAACTCCTGGACTGGTGCGGAGACCCCAGAGCCTTCCAGAGACCGTTTGAGCAGAGCCTGATGGGTTGTTTGACGGTACGTGGGCCTCTCTGCTTCGTACCCTGTGCAGTCTGGTGTGACCAAGGGAATTTGATTTTCGGAATCTGTGTTTTGGGGAAGGGTTTTGTGCTTTTATCCTAAACGTGTGAAACCAGATCCTGACAACTGTTTTGACTCCATTACTTAACAGGAAGCAAAATGCAGTAACAAGAAGTTAAATTATAAAAGGGAAACCCCCTTATAGTTAGATTCCATACAAATATGCAGGCGAGGTTACTTGGTATGCACATACAATATTTATTTTCATGGTTTGAAATTGTTGAAGTGAGCTGTGTTCTTAGGGAGTTAACAGACTTTTCAGGCCTTAATTTTCCTTTGCTCATTTTTGAGGGGACTGAGGGACTTCTTGTCTTCTGTCATAAGTATGCTGTACTTGGAGCTAACGGTGTTTCAGACATGCCTCTTTGGCTTAATTTGTTAGGTATATTTACTGCAAGTCTAATCCTGACACACTAATTCCAAGAGTTTAGTCGACTTTGGTGCTCTTCTTTCCGTTTGCTCTCTATTAAGACCACTGTAGTTCCTAAAGCAACTTCACTGTCATGCTTTGAAAATATTTTTTATAGTGTGCACAACAGCATTTTGTGTTTCGAAAGTTTTATTTCCTTTGCACCCAGCAGCAAGATCCAATCCAAAAATGTTACATGGAGTCAAGACTTTAGAAGAATTAAAATTCTGACTGGACTAGGAGTTTTCAAAAGCTGCACTGCGATTTGCAGAAAAGTTGATTTAAATAAATAGTCACAAAAGAGATAGAAACTTTAAAATTATTTACAAAGAGACTATCATTGTATTTGTTGAGGGGGCAGAATTGCATGGATTATTTTCATGAGCTATGTATCTGGTGTGTGCAAAACAGACACCAAGACAGATTTAGTTACCAGAAATCCAAATGTTAAGGAATGGCTCCATCTTAATGTTCTCAAGTGTATAGCATCCCTCAGATTTCTGTGTCATTAAGTTAGAATAAATCCAATGATACAAGGAGGTCCATATCATTCTTCAAATCAGAAAAAAAAAAAAAAGAAAAGTTAGTGGAGTCCAAAACTAAGGTATTTAACGATTCTGTTTGAAGTAAAAATTATATATAACCTCCTCAGTCATGATGACATGTGGATGGGGTGTGATGTGACCATAAATACATTTTTTTGATACTTGTTAAAAATTTTGCTAGCATTTTCAGGTTAGCATTTGGGAAAGGAGACATTCAGCTCAAGTGTACTTAAGCAGCCTGTGCACGGTATTCCTCTGCAGACCTCTGCTAGAACATTGTTAATCTGACCCATGACTTCCTTGCTGTTTGAATCTTTTGTTTCTACATAAGCAGATCTGCAGCCCTGCCCAAGTGCAGGGTCAAAATAAAGTCTGACTGGTAGAGCTTCACTGTCTGCACAGAGCTTCTGGAAAGGGAGAAGGAAATGCTCCATGGAAAATGATGGGGTAAAACAGACAATACCTGGTTATCAGAGTTTATTTGAAATGGAAATACTATTTCTTTTGCCAGGAAAGAAAGAAAAAAATCCTTATTATCCAAGCACTGTTAAGATGTGAACAGCATGTGTTGCTTTGCTTCATACTCCTCCCTGAAATCTGAGCAGGGTGGCACAAAATCCCCCTTTCCCAGCTTGTCACGGGAGTGCACAGTCTGCACCATAGGACTGACTGGCAGCAGCATCTTTATCACATGTTGAAATCTCATTATATTCCTAACAAGTCAAAAATACGGGCTCATTTTGTGTTAGATACACAGGATTTGCAGAATACATATAAACTGCAATGAATATTTCTTATTCCTAATTTTAAAATCCCTCTAAGGAAGATATTCTTTAATTTTGCAGTTTCTCACTGTGTACATCCCTCTTCCTGCTTCCCATGAAACAAGCTTGACTACATGGTTGTACCCCAGGAAGTTGATAATTCCTGTATCTTCCTAATATGTAGCAGTACAGTGAACAAGGTCTCTTTATCCTTTTTCTTACAAAACTTCTTTTCTTCTGAGCTTGCTTTATATATAACTTCTTTGTAAATAAGGCTCCTCTTGCAGGACAATGTGTTTGCCTTTATTAACAAACATGCCAGAACCTCAATCTATTTCCAAGAAAATTATTCAGAAAGTTGCAAATAAGTGAAAGGCAGCTAAAATACTGGGATATCATGAGTAAATTTAACATTAGCTTGCTGAGCTGCCCTTTCTGTGCTATCAGGAGCATTTTTTCTTAACACTGACAAAGTTTATCAGTGCTCTTCTTTGTAAGGATTATGCTAAAAGAAAAATGAAAAATCATTATGAAAGGCTGTTCAACCACTAAAACAGGATTATTGACTTATCTTCCCAGTCTTTAAAATGACCTTCAAAACCAAATTCCCTTAAAACTGTCATTTTTTTGGATACGCTTTTTAAAGCAAGTAGTCTCTACTATCAGAACTCATTTGAGCTTTATGGATTCCTAAAGGCAAGAGCATTTAATCCAGGAATGCTCCAAATACTAAAATTGCTTTCTTGCTCAAAAGGCACGTGTAGTATACAGAAGGAAGGTTCTTTTATGACGTTCTGTTCTGTTAACTCTCTGACCAGGGAAAAAGTGGTATAATAAACTGTTCTGGAACCATCAAGGGGTATGAAATCATCATATCCTACTAGTGGATAACATGGTATATACTAATCTAGATCAAAATATATTAATATATCAATACTGCAGAAGGGAAAGCTCTCTCAGGAGTGAGCAAACCATCCAGTCATAGACTGCAAAGTTTGAATCAATCAGATGCAATGACAGAGCGTTGAAACATATCTGTTGTATTATGAATAGCCAATGTAACAGTACCTCTGGTGTATCAGACTTTCTGCATCATTTAAGTCTCATCTACAATATTTTTTTCAAAAATTGACCAATTAGTTTTAATTCTTTTAATAAAAAGGAAAAAAAAATATGCTCAGAATCTTGAAATTGTGCCTTAATTTGGGAACTGTCTCTTAGAAGTAGTTTTGTTTATCCCGCATACCATCTTCATGTCAGCACTGTCAGTAGTATCTGTTTCACTTTCTAACACTGGTATGTTTTTATTCCTGTTGCCAATCTAACAGGCTCTGGATGGCTGCAAAAGAATGGTCTTAGAAATATTCTGCTTGGACTTCAGCAGAAAAGCTTCCAGCTTCAATTTCAGAATCAGCGTTTTTGATAATAATCTATAGAATGGGCTGTTAGAGAAAGAAACGTGTTGACGTTCAACATGTGCTGTCTAGGTAACTCATAACATTTTCAAGTCACCAAGTTTTCCTAAGTGCTGGCATTACGATTGAACGTCAACACATTTCTAGTGTTCATTTTATCTTGGGTTTTTTTTTTCCTCTGTTGAAATAATAGATGTGCACAGTATACATCCCAGGTGTTAGCAGTAGCTAAACGTTTTTACTTACCGGCAGTACTTGATATTACTGGAATTCCATTTGCTACTGTGGGCTCCAGTGACGTATGCAGGATAATGGAAGTGGTTTTCTTGCTTCAAGAGCAAACTCAGGATTTGGTAAGACAGCTGCAGTTTTACCAGAGAGGTGTCTAATAAGGCATGTAAACAGGCTTTGCTTAGGCAGTTAAATAGTTGCATTTGTTTTGTAGGTTCCGTTAAATAATTGCTCTTTTAGAGGTGAGATAACATCTGTTCATGATAAAGAGCTTGGACTAATGCTGTCAAGGCCTATGAATAAAACTGGAATAATTCTGCGCAGTGCAGGCTTGTTGGCCAGAGAAGATTTAGGGTACACAGGTAAACCTATGGCTTGTGCTATAAGAAAGTTGTTTGGTTTTTTTTATTAAGCCCTCAAAGTTGTGCCCCTTCTGGAAAAACTGTGTGTGACTGCACGTGCGTTGCCTTTCAAACATTTCTGGCAGACACTAATTCTAGAGCTTACCTTTTTGTCCTCACCCATTACAGAAGATCACCCAAGTGAGTGGGTAATATAAAATTATAAAGAAAATACATTTCAACAGATAAATAAAAAGTCAAGGAGGGATGGGGTAGTTTTCTTCCTGACAAGCCATAGGCTACAGAAAGGTAGCCTTAAACAGCTTTAATGGAACTCATACAAACAAATTATTGTCTTTCTCAGAGACAATAACCTCTCTTCCAACTTGCCAAGGAAAGCTAGGAGTTATTTTTCAACAGTAGTTATTTTCAAATCAAATAGAACTGTCTGTAGGCCAGAAACTGAATTATAATTAAAATAATTGATTCCATAAATTATTGAAATTGCACTGGATACATTGCTCTTTGATACTAAACATTACTTCTTGCATAGTGTTCTGGGGAGACAATTAAAATAACTTGCACTTCCCACAAAGCAGAGGTGGCTGAGTCTTCGTTCTGGTTCTAGCATTCATCACTTACAAAGCACGTTGCAGTGAGATTACGCTATGGTGAGGTGTCCTGGTTTCAGCTGGGATAGAGTTAATTTTCCTAGTAGCTGGTACAGTGTTGTCTTTTGGATTCAGCATGAGAATGATGTTGATAACACAGGGATGTTTTAGTTGTTGCTGAGCAGTGCCTGCACTAAGCCAAGGACTTTTCAGCTCCTCCCGCTGCCCTGCCAAGTGAGGAGGCTGCAGGGCACAAGAAGCTGGGGAGGAGCAGCCAGGACCACGAAGCCAAAGGAGCCAAAGGTGGTGAGCAATTGTATTGTGCATCACTTCTTTTCTGTGTTCTTTTATCATTATTTTTCTCTCTTCCTTTTCTGTCCTATTAAACTACCTTCATCTCAACCCACAAGTTTTACTTTTTATCCGATTCTCTCTCCAATCCCACTGAGGGGGAGTGAGCAAACAACTGTGTGCTGTTCATCTGCCTACTAGGTTAAACCCCAACATAAGGCTAATAGTCTTGATAAAATTAAGAATATCATTCTGTACAAATGTGCTGTCTCTGGCATTACCCTACTGTGTTCTGAAAAAAACAGCCTCAGTTACTAACTGTAACCCTAG